CGTTGTCATAGTCGTAAAACACGACTGGCAACAACGTAGGACGCATAACTGTACGTCATAGTTAACCTAATTACGTCAAAGACCGTAGGAGTCTGCGAGCGTGTATCCTATCACGTGTCCTACCATGTTTGCGTCTTCATTCCCCATATTCGCACCCTCTTTCAAGATTAGGATTGAAAAAAGCATTTTTCTCTCTCTCTTTTTCTTTTTCTTATTTTTCTGCTTCATTCGCGGAATAGTGGTATAAAGTTCCAAAGGATATTGACTCCTCGTAGATCTCTTCTCTGTTGAAATATCGGTTGTCGTTCTCTTCGATAGGAAACTACGAAAAGAAACGAAATAGAAAAGAAACGCTACAAAGTGAGTAGCGACATTTACGAGATCTTCAAGTTTATGACTTTTTCAAGACGCTCCTGGGGAAACCATGTCGTACATATTCTATCAAGGTTACAGATCAAGAAAGACATTGTCTTCTTCTTTTCCTTTTTCTTCTTCTTCGTCTTCAGGACTGTACAACGTATCGGACGAAAAAACTTGTTCCATTCGTCATCTATTTTATTTCTGTTATATTATCGTACCGTACGTGTTCAAATTCATTATAAGGTTATTGTTCTTTTTCCTAACGAGAGAGATAATATAGCGATGGAGATAGGGAAATTTTGATCGATAAACAAAGAAACTTAAGGACAATTTTGAAAAGAACTATAATGTATCATTTTGCTTTATCCTACAGACATCCATCAACTTCCGCGTTGAGAGACGGTAAACTAATCCCATTTATGCATCGCTATTGTATTTTCCGTGGCGCTTCTCAATTCGAACTGTATTCAAGATGACGAGGGGTCAAGATGAAAATCCCTTGTCCGTAATTTAATTCAGAGTTGATTCTATTCATCGGAACAAAACCACCGTGTTGTCCGAATTAGTGCAATCCCTTCGAAGGAAAACGATCCAAAGTGAAATATACGTAACTACATTTGATTTATAGTTGGATATGCGTATATTCTCCTTTTCAATGTATAATCGTTTTCAATGAGATGTTAAAATGAGAAAATGAAAAAAATGGGAGAAAAACTCTTTCTTTAGGATATATCTTTATCTCGTGAAGAGTATCTTTACCAAATGAAATCGATTATTTTTGGCTGATAATGAGAGAAGACCTTCCAAATCGTTCGAAAGATAAATCGAGAAAAGATGCTACTGATGATAGATGAGATACTAAAATGAAATAGAAGCTACGAGGAAGAGAACAAAATTACGACCAACATCTTATAACTCTGTTCGTCGTTTTTTTTTTTAATAAGCCAAAAGAAGTAGTGACCCGATTAAAGAACTCCCGAGCAAAGTGTCGAAACAATTAGTTTTTTATTCTTTACTAGTTGGAAGTCTTACTGGATCGGCCGCTTCATAGACCCTAGAAAGATCGAACAAGAAGACGTCTCGTAATTTAATCTTTCCAATACACGTCGCTATGCGATCCTTCTTTCTCGAGGATCAATTTCTCCTGCCGTCGAAGCTTGATTTATGACGAGAATGCCGAAGATTGCGAAATTTAACATATCGTACGAACGGTGTCTAGGAAAAGCTAATTAACGAGGAAAAGTTTGCAAAGTCCGTTAATCGATCACGCGCCATTATAATAGGACCGCAACGTTATAGTAATTACCCGTAGTAATATAGATATTTGCGCTAATCGAGATCATTTATCAACAAGCATTACTATGTTGGAACATCGCACAAAAGTAATTAATTCATAGGGGAAGATATTCGAGCATTGAGTATTACGAATCGAATGTCTAGGAAGGAAAGAAGAAGCTGGATAAGCTTGGACGAAAGACATTTTCAAGATTTATTGTCGAGAAGCCGATCCGTATTTCTTTTTTAAGAAAATGTACAAAAAAGATGAAACTTCTTGCACCTCGTCTTGAGACCGCTCGATAACGCTTGAGAGGATCCGGAAACATCGATAAAACATCTATCATATTTTCCGAGAGAAACTTCCGTTTGGATATTTTATTAAGAAAAGATTTCTCTTTGGGACTACGTTTTACGTGCGACGAACTAGTTTTATAATAATATTAATTTATCAATCGTCCTCTGAAATATCTAATTTATCGACTTCGAGAACAAAATTTCGTATTCTCGCCTTCGTCCTTTCGTAATTCATACTTGATCATTCTTTTTTCTTTCAAAATAAAACCAATTTTCACATTTTAACGGCGAAAATTTTCGTTTTAACCGGCCGACCACGTTCTATTCCGTATTATTTTTATCTAACGAGAATTTTAATCGAATTAATAACGAATCAGAAACAGAAATAATGACATTTTCGATAAGCTTTGTTTTATCGTTTGAACGTTGATCGAGCACTGTAAACTCGACAGAGATGTGTTGGTACCTAGACGCGTTATTGCAAAAGGACGAGCTGTAGTAATTAGTATTCAACGATCCGAATATGCTTCTCTGTCTTTCTTTCTCTATCATTAAAACGTTCAAATATACAATGACAAAAGCGAATATTATTGGTCAAAGTCAAAGGAATCCCTGATGCCATCCGCATTCTGTGGTTCATTTCTGACGCGACTGTGCGATTGTCACCAAAAGATCTTCCAACGAATTAGATTTTTTCGATAAATTACTACACTATAGACACTTATCTTTTCGCGCGCATATGAAGATATGAATGCGTATATAAATATTAGAAACATAAACAAATACATATGCTAGAGCATACATCAATATGATTTACCATTGGACAATATCTTTCTATTGCGTTTCATTAGCTCTCGAATAATTACCAGCTTACGGACATATAGATACTCTAATCGGATATTTACAAATACATTCCATCGGCTTCTACTGCTCGCTTGAGCGAGCTTAATCCTTTTCTCAGCTTGTGCATTTCGAAAATATCGAAATACGTTAAACAACGCTAAAAAAGTTCAAACTTTCCGCATACCCACCGCATACCAGAAATATCGTTGTTTTCTCTCGCATCGATCGAATGTTCGAGTACAAGAGTAAAAGAGAAAACAAAAATAAGTTGATGAGCGAAATTCGATATTAATAATAATATAAAATAATTGGATCTCTATTGTATTTTCTAACGTGTCACTCCACTAAATGATAATTTACCGTGCCTATTAATGAAACCTGTTGCTAAAATCTTAGTAATCGATAACGCGTCTGTTCATCAGTTCACGGCGAACGAAAATATTACAGACTCTATCTTTTCCCCTATTTCTGTCAGGTTTTCGCATAAGCAAACGATATCGCATCATTCAAAGAGAATAGTTTTGATTGTGTCGAATGAATCATTACCAAAAATCGAAACGTCCTGGAAAGTTATCACAATTATTTTCACGGATATAACGTATTTTTTTCTTTACGACTTCTTTTTCTATCTCTCTTCCACACCTGCCATTTTCTATGGAGCACACTTTTTCCATACATTGAATTATTTTACATACGAGTCTCAAAGGAGAAATTTCCCTCTGCAAACATTAACATAAGAAGGAAAAGAAAAGAATTCTAGTGTCTTCTTATAACAGAGTTGTGCTTTATTCTCTGTAGTATCTATAAAAAGTTTGTTCAGTTTTATCAACATTCAAAGATCATGTTAACGTGCGTAACACAAAGGGACCTATTTATTTTAATGCCTTTTATTAAACCAGTCGAAAATTGGCGATCTTTGCGTAATCAATACAACAAGTGTTTTTTATTTTACAAAATTATAAAATCAGCTTTACGATAAATTCGATTTCCCCATTCCCATCGGCAAAGTTTACCTCCGGCAGAAAAAGCGAAAAAAGTCTTGAAAAAACTTGAAAAGCGGAAGCAAAAGTCGAGGCATATTAAAAGACTTTGTCGAAAGTGGTTCGCAATAAAAATGCGAATCAGAAAAGGTAAACGCCTTAGCGGTTATTTCGGCATTGTCACGATTTCTCGTGAACTTTCTTTAACAGGCGTAGATATTTTTCACGAACTCTTCTTAATAGATTTTTCTAGTTTTCAAACTGATGTTTGCATATTTGTTCTCAAAAAATGCATTTCATATGTGATTGAAATCGTAAGTCGAAGAGACTATCGGGGAGTACCTTGTTACGTTTCCAAATGCGAAAAGACGTTGATCCTTGTCGACTTTTAACGGAAAAAGCCTTAAGCTTTAAAACCAGCTTAAAATCTGAAAGGAAAATCGATTGAAAGGAGCACTCGAAACATTTCATTTTCTCGTTCCATTTTCGCTCTTGAATCTACAGGAGAATAGCTACTTTATAGAAAAAAAAAAATGAAAAAGTCGTTAATTTTCATGAGTATCGGTTAGTTTCAGTAATTTATCTCGGTAGCACAAACACGGAGAAATCTCTTCTGCGATATTGTTCGAATGTAATCGTATCAACACGACTTCTCTCTACATTTCCACTATGAAAATTGCTATTAATCTTATGTAAGAAGAAAGATTCTCGACAGTTGTCAGAATTATTCGCTAGATTCTAATCTCGAATCGTCTCGTTGGAGAATCTCAAGACTCTTCATTAATGGCAGATGCGATCACGTAACGCGGGATTATCTTCGGAGAAGATGGCACACGATGCAGCTGGGAATTAATTAAAACGCACGAACCCAGCTATCGGGTGGCCTTCGAATCGTGTCCTTCGGGCCGAGGCCTCCGGGTCGTGGCCTCCGGTACGCTAACGGCGGTAGGATCGATGGCTACGTTGCGTTACATTTCTGTTACCTTCGTTTCTTTTACATTTTCCTTGTCCTTTCCTTCAACTCCATAATACAGCACCGAATTTTGTTTACCCGCGTCAAATGAAAATAAGTTTACAAGGATTCTAATATCTTTCTGATCAATTTCCACGCGTAATTTCATCTCTCGTCCTATACGTTGGAAATATGAATTTGACTAAGTCCGCAGGAACCATGGAAATGATTAGCATCGTTGCGGTATGCGATAATACCGTGACGAAGCACGCATCCTGTTTTTCTTTTTGCAGATTTCCAAGGGCAACATGACCGCTCGGAACTGCTTCCAAAGTGCCATTTGCAGAATATCGCGCGATATCGAGCTTTCCATCGGAGCTAGGCCCGATGCCTTCCACGTATCGCACGCGATGTGTTGTAGTGTCTAAGAACAGTGACGGACAATATTTTGTGCTCGAAGAAAAAGTCATCGGACGATTGAAGATAAAAGTGATTAGCGACGATGCGAGATGGACACATTGGTGGATATGGGGAAGCTCATGAAAAAGTACATTCCTGTGAATCGACTAAAGTACGAAACGTCGTGTACCGTTCCGAACTGTACTTCGAGCTAATTTAATTCGATTCGAGAGGACGGGACAAAATAAAGAAAATAACGATGAGTTGCTTGAGGAGACTATACGGACTTACATGGAAAAGCATCGCGAAAATGATGAAAGCTTAGGATCGAGATAAAGTTGGAAATAAAATTTGAGGAAAAATCAAGGAAAAAAAGGAACGGAAAATAAAAAATAAAAAATAGAAAAAGAAAAAAGATAAAAATAAAAAATGGAATCCACAAAGTTAGGCGGAGCTGCGCCGACCAGCCCGAGGGCGCACTCGCCTGCTTTACCGAGCTATTGTACCAACTCAGACGGTAACATCGATTACATCATTGGCGATTATATGGAGAGATTGGGTACGAGGCTTAATATTCTCGAGACCGAATTGAAATACGCGTGGAGGGCACTGGATTTACTTAGTCAGGAGTACATAAAGATGTGGGAGAGATTGGAAAAATTGGAAGGGCTTTTGTACGAGCAACAGACGGTGATCAGTCAACTGATAGAGTTTTACACGAACGGCAGTGGTCAGGAGAACGGCACCGAGGTCGTCGAAGGGACGTTGGCCGACGAGCAAGATTCGGTCGGCGAGTTGGACGCTATCGCGAAGAGTTTGAACGCCGCGATAGGGATGGAGGAGACAAGCGCTTTGAGGGAGAAGCTAACTCAGCAGGAATTGGCGAGAATGCACGGACTAACGCAGGACAGCGCGACCGCGAATGCCGTGGTTACGGACATGCACAGGAACGTAAGAAATTTGGAGACTCTCGAGACGCTCGAGGAGGAGGAGGGCAACATACCGGACGAAGCCTTCTACCGTAGTCTCAACAACGCCTACAGAGAGGATTTGATCTGTGGCGACACTTCGAGGCCTACCTCGCAACTCGGTATGATCTGGGAAGAGGTCGAGGACGAGGATATTAACGGTAAAAAAGAAAGCGAGATCGCTTACTACGAAAAGAGTTCACCGAAAGAAAAGAAAACGGAGGAGTCGTCCGCGCAACAAAGTAAAGAAGAAATTCAAGCCTCGGTTACAAAGAAAGAAGACGAAGCCGACGAGGACGAAGGTGAGGTTTTTAGCGCGGCCGATTACAAAAGCTATCGAGGCAATACTCCTTGCGTCAGCGAACAAGACCTCGCTCAACTCTCCAGGCTGAGCTCGATCGACCAGGTAGCTTTGGAGAAGCTTCACGAGCTCGACAGATTGACTAGCAAATTGCAAAAGGATTCTCAAAATCTCATCGAACTGCAATCGCGATTGATAGAATCACCGAAACGCCGATATTCTTCGGAAGCCGAGGCGAAGTTGGCCGAGGAAGCGAGTAGCATAGACGAGCAATTGAGAAAGATCTATGCGGAAACGGACGTCGATAGTTGGACCTTTTCGAAGAGTCCCGGATCAACGGGCAGATCTTTGTCGAGGGTCAGCACCGATAGTGGGCTGGCGACTGACGGTGATTTTACCGCAAGATCCATCTCACCGAGATTGAGTTCCACTTCTAGGAGCAATCTAGATTCCATTTCGACCACTTACACGCCTCCTAGATTAGGATACACTTCGGCGGTTCTAGAGAAGAGTCCCGAGCCTGTTATCCAGTTACCCATCGACGTGGGTAACTTTGCCAAAGGGTATGCGGAGAATAAAGAGCTGACCGATTTAATGGCCGAAAGTTTCGCGGCGGTGACTTGTGCCTCACCAACCATTTACAGTACCACCACTGACAAGGCTCCATCGCCGACGCTCTCGGTTGGTAGCGTACACAGCGTCCACAGCGTCCACAGTGTCCACAGCGTCCACAGCGTCCAAAGTATCCGAACCAGGCAAGACGGTTATTTCGGCAGCGCTGCTCGATTAAACTTGGACTTTCAAGAGAGTAGAACTCCGCCGAGTCCATCGCCGAGTTCACCACCGCCTCCGGCGCCGCGAGATTCGACCGAATCCTTCTTAATGCCTACTGCGACGGAGGATAGAGAGGCCGAGGCGAAAAGACCCCAAAGTCCTGGAAGTTTCTTGAGGAATGCCGAAAAATTGGTATCCCTCGATCAGGGTAGGCTCAGCCCGCGTACTCCTCATTCTCCTAAATCTCCAAGAGTATCGCCCAAGCATATAACGAAAACGGTCAATGCAGCCAACATTGTTGCCACTAAATCCGATTCCGGTCTATCTTCGATGAGCGGATGGAGCAGCTTGGACAAGTCGCCGAGTTCTCCGAAAAATTCGATCGCTAAAGCTTTGACTTCCTATTCGGTCGATCACACGAGAACGGCCCTAACAGCCTCCTCGTCCGTGCAGCCAGCGAGAACTTCTAGTCCGATACCACCTCTTCCGGAAAGTACGAGCACCGCCGTCATTACGCAGGAGCCTCTTTACGACACTCCGGAAGGTAGAGATGCGTTCGCCGCAGCCGCGGCCCCCGCAACTGCTCATTCTTCTTATTCGACGACGACGATTAACCACTTGCCCTATACTTACGCGTCATCGATTAAATCACCGGCGGCGGCAGCGGCGGCCACCAAGGACGACTACAATAATTTAGTTCCTCCACCAGCGCCAGGCACCTCCACCTGTCAGAGTCCAAAGAAACGAACCCGTCAACAAACGGTTCTTCAACATAGCCTTCAGCATACTCTTCAACATGGCCTCCAGCATGCTTACGATTCCGTACCCTCGGCTACCGTTATAGATTACGTTTATAGATCGGAACAACCCGCGATTTATTCCGTAGCCGGCAGTAATCGTCAACAAGTCATAACGAGCGTCTATACTAGCGGCTCCGGGAACTACGGTTTTAAAGTAACGGGCTATTATCCGGATACCGTCGGTCAATACGGTGGCTACCCAGAAAGTTACAACGCTCTGCAGTATCCCGAGGCAAGCGGAATGACGGGCCATATAAAGAAACCATTAAGAGGCTCCTACGTCGCGGACGCGACGAGCAATCAGGAGGGATACAAAGCAGCGATATATCGTACCATGTTTCCCACAGGAAACATCACGGATGCTCTGTCCTATTACCCGACCAGTGCAAGTTTACCGCGCACAGAGAACAACGAAAGTTCCTGGATAAACTCGATGGAAGAACAAATTCCCCATGATTCGACCTCCTCCAGCATCAGATCTCTTACCTCGGATGGTAGTTACGCTCAAAGTCCTTACACGGACCGAAGGTATCCACAACCACCGGCCTATCAAGCGCACCAACAATATCATCACACTTACGCGAATCAGAGTTATCCGCAAGTAGTTGGTTATCAGCAACAACAGTATCAACCTTACGGGCAAAGACTGTTGAGCGGCACTGAATGCGCACAACTTACGGACGGCTATCAGAGACAATGGCAACGGGAGCACCAATACATCCAGGAACACGAAAATGCAAGAATACCAATGGAGCAACAACAGCAACAGCAGCAACAACAGCAGCAGCAACAACAGCAGAGCGAATATTACGACGCTTCGAATGTGATAGTATCTCAGTCAGGTTACATCAGCATTTCTTCGAATTTGAAAGATCACGAGGTCGATGGCGCTAAATTAACGAAGAAAATTCGACGCGGTACTTCCTTAAAAAACGCGATGAGCTCCATGAGCAATTGGCTGCCCGATCTTCATCTGAGCAAAAGACACCGGAGTCAATCTTTACCCGGTGGAGTCCGAAGGGAAGATCTAGACGGATCTCAGGAGAATCAACAGAAACTTCCATCTGAAATAAACGCTGCCAGAGGCCGAGGCAGAACGCAGGCACCGAGGAAAAAGAAAAAGCACACTCTGGTATCGACCGTTTCTGGTATTCTTCAAAAAGCTAAACGGCGAACTCATCATTCGCAATCACTATCGGATCCTGAACAATCGGAGACAGAATGGAGCAGTGGTAGACAAAGTGGACTTTCAGAGGACGAAGACAGCGTGATGTCCGACGTTAATCAAGAACTACCATTCTTTGCAAAAGTAAAAACGTCTAGTACAAAACGGAAACCATCGCAGCAACCGATTACGGCACAGCAGCAGCAGCAACAACAACAACAACAACAACAACAACAACAATCGGCCCAACTAATGCAGCAACAGCAACAAGCTTTGCAACAGCAGCAATCACTGCAACAGCAACAAGCTCTGCAACAGCAACAAGTTTTGCAGCAGCAACAAGTTCTGCAACAGCAACAAGTTCAACAGCAGCAACAAGTTCTACAGCAGCAGCAAACATTACAACAGCAGCAAGCTTTGCAACAACAAAACCTTCAGCAACAACAACAGCAACAAGCTCTGCAGCAACAAATTCAACAGCACCAAGAACAATTGCAACAACAAGCCGCGCAAGATGGCTGGGCGAAAGAGAAGGAACAAAGAAGGGTCGACTCGATCGAATACGAAACGAACGAGCAGATGATGGCCATGGAGGAGGAGGGCAAGAGCACTGGCTCGGGATCAGGTGGATCGTCCATCTTTCAAACAGTCGGCGATATAAAACGATCGACCGGTAGCTCGGACGAAGCACCGAACGAGAAGACGCCTAAACTTCCGCCGGTAACCATAATGGGCGGTGCTAGCATGGAATTCGCGGTATCGAGAGCACTTGGGAAATATCGTCAGCGACAATCCTCGACGGTGTCGGACGATCAGCCGCCGATGGACGAAAACGCGAGCGAAAAGAAGTCCGACGAAGGGACTAACGGACAATCGTTGGAGCCAAGTTTCGAATATCCCGAGGATCTCTCGGAAAAGAGCGAGAAAAGCGAAAAGTCGGGCAGCGCGCGTTTACCCGAACTGGTTACGAGTTTGTCGGAAGAAGCTCCTCCGTCGGAGGGCAGTCCCTCGACATCGAGCGCGAGGGGATTCATTCAGAGCGGTCCTACCCGATTTCTACCTCGTCATCAGCAATCCCTCGAGATACCCTGGGGAGGCGGTCGTTCCGCCGAGGACGAAGACAACAGAAGCACGCACTCTTATAGAAGTACCTCGAGAGTCTCGTCGAGACGACAGAGCACCGAGGACTCGATCGATTCCGAGGACGAGTGGTATTGTTACGAGTTGCGTAAACTCGAGGAGCTAGAAATGCAATCGCAAATGGATATGGAAATGAGCGAGGTCTTGGTGGAGGAAGCCGAAGACCGCGAACCCTATCAACCGGACGACACCGTCAAGGAAAGGATGTCCTGCGTGCTGAAGGAACTCAAAATGAAAGCCGTTGCGAGGCCTAAAATCGAATCGAAGGAAGAGAAAGACAATTTACGAGCTGGCAAAATGAACGGTGCCATTAGCAAGGAACGTCACACGGAAGAAGTCGATGAAAGATACCCGAGAGACGAGAGACCCATTCCTAAGAGGAAATTTGCCGAGAGTATAGAATCTGTGTTCGCTCGAGTGACCGATTATCATACTTGGGCGCACGAAGAGGAGGCGAGAAAGGAGAGGGCAGGTCCGTCTCCGAGGACCGAGGACGGTTCCTCCTCGGGCGAAACATCCGGTCCGGATAGTCCTGGACGATCGATCGACGATGACGAGATCGAAGACGAGGAGGAGGAGGAGGAGGAGGAGGAGGAAGAGGCAGAAAGACAAAAGGTTCAGGAGGAACATGAGGTGGCGATAGAGGGCTTCGAGGAGGAAAGGGACGAACATGAGAGAGAACTGTCTAGGGACTTCGAGGAAGAACAATTGAGACGAAGAAGCAGCGGCGGCGGATCCACCGGGCGACAAGGCGATAAGATTCATCAAATGAGCGAATCCCTCTCTCACGAGGGTAAAGTCGTTTTAGGACTCGATGGCGAGACCTTGGAAGAAGTTATCGGAGTTGCCGAGGCCGATACGAGCCTAAGCCTACCCAAGATCAAGATCGACTCCTCTTCTTGCGCCGGTACCGTCGACAGCGCACTCTTGAAAGAGGGTCAGGTTAGTCCTGGCCCACCTGGCTCCAAATGGAAACTCTTAAAGACGCTGAAGGAACGTAAGGAGGAGAAACTCAAGGAGATCGAGGAAGCTTCCAAAGAAGCTGCGACCATTCCTCAGGGACCCACGGCGGTGAGTATAATGATCAAGTGAGGACACGAAAATCTCTGTAAAGCGTACTCGAGATTCGGGAGCTGGGTCAAGTCCTAATCTTTTTCTCCGTACCTATGGAAACTTTACTTTTGCAAGTTTAGTTTTCCAACTCACAATCAGATCTCACTTTCATATATACCATAAGAAAGAAGAAAAAATATAAAAAAAAATAAACGAGCTTATAAGAACCAACAAACACTTTTTATACTCTCTATACTTCCGTCAATGTAAAAGAAAAAAAAAAAGAAACAGTGAAAGAACAAAGCGGTACTCGTCCGGGCGATATGTAACGATCATTTCTTATGATATCTTCAACTATATTCACCCTTCGAATTCGGTTAACGAGGACAGCAGCAATCGCGAGTACCTTTTTCGTATTCGTTTATATCAACGTATCTACACTTTTCAAACTTTTCGATTGTTCGTTTTTTCGCGCATTTGGTATTTACTGCGCGAGGCATTATCTACCTCGAGTATCGAGTACGCTACACGTCCGTAAAGGATATATCTAGACGATAAGAGAGATCTACGAGTTTAAGGCTTATCTTAAGGCCGCGTCATAGGGCTCTGATTACGCCCACGTATCCAGTCAATACTTATTGTTAATGATACAATACGCGAAATGCGAGTCAAGCTTTGCTGTCCGCTAACCTTAAGTAGTAAGGTTATACCGTCAACCAGCGAGAAAGAAAATATGTGAAAAATGCGATGGAGCATATATCGTGCTAATTACGCATCTATCTTTGTCAATTCGAGTGTAACACCACTAACGCTTGTCTATAAAATATTCCTAAGAAGGTAAAATCTAAGAAGAAAAGCAGAATATAAATCGTCGTTGGATACCAGTTCCGGTATTCTGAATCGATGAATCATCGAGTCACTCGCCGAAAAAAGTCATCGCTCGAGAAAGCTCAGCTAATATGTATATCTTATAATTAGAGATTATTTAGATGGTGCTTTACTAATTGATAAGCTTTTAAGGTATTAATATGGAACAAATAAAAAGGGAATAGAAAGTGGTTCGACTGCCTGCGCGATATGCATTGCAACGCGAGAAGGAGGTGCTCCAATAACTGCTAGAGACAGAGAGATACATATATCTATCGCAATCACGTGAAAAAGGTGTCCGACGAAAAACTATGATATTGGCTAAACGCGACAAAAGCTTAATGTATCGTATACATATATATTCGACTCGCATGACTGTTCATAATAGTATTAGTTCCTATAGTATTTCGAGACTACTTTACGGCTTAAACGATGAATACCTAGAGCGAGCAACTTTTACAGACTTGGCCAGGTGTATTAATAAAAATTCTAATGAGAAAGATATTCATATTTTGTGGCCTACCACTTCTCTAAATTCGATAACTTTCGAAGCGTCCAAAATAACGAATAATCTCTTAAGTGTTCATCGTATAGACAAACGCACATCTAATTATGTGCATTATGCGTCATATCTACTTCTCCGTATCTATAGATATCAAATTATCCGTATCGAGCGAACATTTCTAATAGATTATTTATGGTGAAAGAAATCAAAGATAGTGTAGATGAGCCAAGAAGGGGCGACCTTTATCGTCTCCTAACGAACTTCAAGTCAATCTTGGAAAAATACGTATACGATGTCCAACTGTTCTCCATTAAATCGGACAAAGATTCGATAACTCGAAACGCGCCATGCAATATTAAAAAAAAGAACAAAAATAAACAAACAAAAAGAGAAGAAAATAAGGAAAGAAATGAACTTTCATAATATGAAAAAAAGTCATACATGTAGATCGCGCAGGCTCGACTAACAACGTCATTTCATGCACATCGCACGTCGCTCTTACGAACGTTCGTTAAAATCACGCACACGTATGTATTTACATACCCTTATGTATACGTACGCGTACTTAATATCGTAATTACGTTAAACCAAAAAATCTCAATACACCTAACTGTTTACAGCTATACTCTAAAGATATCCGGCGACGATCAAACGAAACGAAACAAATCGTTCATCGATTGGTCGCAACCCGTTAAAGTAGACTGTAAAAGGATAATCGCTTGATTCCACTTCCATTGGATCATTCATGTATGTACGTTGAAAGTTCTATCTTCGTTGTATCGTTAATGGAACGTGGCTCATAACGCGAATTGACACAAAATTGTATATCATGTCTGTTGAAACTAACAGGATCAGAATATAGGAAGGCAAGTAAAATAATATTCGAGGGTACGTTTACGATAGTATTATAAAGCGTAGTTTATTAAGGAAGTTTTGTTCATCTATGTATGTAGAACTATATAAAACGAACAAACGATGAATCTAATTACTATTTGACTACCACTTTTGGACGGTTGAAACACGAACACATATGGACAACTCTGACGAACGCGCACATACACACTGACCATTGTCTTTGTTCGAAAGTTTAGCGAGAAATCCACGACGACGATTAGTTTGCTTCGCTTAACGAAGCTAGTTTCTCCGATTAAATATTTCGAAAAAAACAAGAAAAAAAAACACGACCAAGGACGAGTCGGCGCACTTTACTATGCCTTCCACGTTATCGCGTATTCCGTTTTATCGAGCACGAAAGAAGACGACGATTCGTCATCCTATCGAGCAAAACTTAAGTGAGCAAAAAAAAACACTGCGATTCTCATCGATCGCTTTTTTAAAATTTGCATTTTTTTTCTTCCATCGTTTCCCACCAGACTTGCGAATATTTTTATCGCGTCCTCATCAAGCTAGTATTTTTAGCGACTTATTAACGACAGAAAAAATCGCGATAACGAAGACTCCCTAGCATTATTTTTCTTCTTTTTTTTCTTCTTCTTCTACTTTTTTCGACGCAAATTTCGAGAAAGTCGCGTCGTATTAATTGTGCATTTTTTTATTTTGCATATATTATAATACTTACGTATTACGTATTTACACGCGCGCGCGATTATAGTATGTATATGTATACGCGACTATACGCTATACACACGTCATGTACACGTCCAGTATTATATGCTTCCGTATTTATAGACTTGTGCAAGTCTATCGTATTCTCTAATCGAGTCTAGCAAATAATTAATGTGCATAACTTTGGTGTTTAGATTTAGGCGGTTTCGGGGTTTCATCGCGCCTTTCAATACGGTTAACGATATCAAGTGGGACTTAATGATGAGCCTAGCAAAAGAATTTTTAGGTGCTCCTAAGAGCGAGGAAAAGAAACTATGTTAATTGGAAATAATAAAGGAGGGAAAAAGAAAATACGTTACGTAGAAGGAAGAATAATTGGAAAACGATAAAGGATAAATGGGCACTGAATACGGCGATATGAGAAAGGGCAGTTGCTCATAAAATATAAATAAGAACTCCACGGTAAGAAATAAGGTCCTGTGATGTCCGTTCTTAAGGAATATTAATTCCTACTTATACTTACTTCTTTCGAAATCCGACATCAAAGAGGCCGCTTTTCTCTTTTCTAAGCCACAATATCCCAGCTCGGAAGGACAAATAGATTTCATAGAAAGACAAAAATCGGAGGAATAATGTGATGATAACGATTTATTTCAACGATTCGTCTCTTTGCGTCCTCGTTTCGAAATTCGAATTTTTTAAATAAAATACGACAAGGATTTCGGAATCGTTTACGCTCGTTATCTTTTTACAAAGATCAATTATTAATCTACAGGACGATCATCTTGCGGTTTGAAATTTTTTCTTGTTTATTCAAAATACAAACTCTCGCTCGCTCTCGTCATTCTTCTTCCGTTCAATGAAAACTTTCGAATCGTTCGTGTCGTATCGTTTCGAGAGAATCGTGCAATATCTGCAACGAATCGCGTAAGCCAGCTGGCTTATCGGCTTTTATTATCGAGGAAAAACGTAATTATCTGAATCGCTTAACCAGTTCCTCTCTAATCTGTCACAACGACATATATTTTCTAACGCTGTAACTTTGCTTAAACTGCATAAATTTGCAAATATAATAAATTTCCGAGAAAGGAAAAAATGTCAGAAATTTTCCAACGATATAATCTATGAACGAAGAAAACACAAAACTGACGCTCGTTACTTTCAATTTGTAACAATGTGAAATATGAAACTCGCAAACGCCCTTTATCGTACGAATCATTAATAATTCCAAATTGAATTCAAATCTTTTTACACGACTCGTAAATTTTTATTTATTTACAAAATATAGTTACAAAATCTGAAATAAAGAAAGAATGAGAAGAACGAATTTTTGAAAAAGGAATTTTAATTGGACACGCTACTTTATAAGATTTTTTCCTGCACTGTCTCAAGAGATTGAAAACTTTGCTCGACTCGGTGCTCCGTGATTCCGCATAAATCGATCGTGGCGATGAAATTATTTCGCGTAAAAAAGGGTGTACAAGGGTAAAGATAGAGAGAGAGAGAGCGAGAGAAAGAGATATTAGGAGGAAGTGGTGAGTAAAGCGCTGGACGATCGAGGCGTAATATGATTTACTCTCGAGGATCCTCGAAACGAGGCCGCAGCAAACTCCAGACCAATTCTGTACCATTTCTCACTTTTATATAAAACGGGAATAAAAACACGTGACTGGTTACTCGTCACGTTCTTGCGCGCCCCATGTGGCGTTAAAGTATATTATAAATAAACACGAATATATATAAAATATATATATATATATATATTATAAAAATACAATTATAAGTACGATCGCAACGATCGATTAATCGATATTATACATGTACCTATATCGTCACGGTGTTAAATCGTAAGTGTCTATACGCGCGCGCACTCTATACATTTGAATAACACGTGATCGCTTTCGAATTTGAATGAAACATTCTAAAATCGATAATAACGGAGTAGAAGATTCTTCGATTTATCTAAAATTAGTCGTTTCAAACGATAAGCTTTCTTTATGGTCGTTATACCTACAAAAACGAACGTGCGCACAGAAACACATACATATACACGCACGCATACACGTACTTGTAGAACGTA